ATTTTTCACAACAAAAACATACGACTCATTTTGATTCCAGTTGGAAATATGAAAAGAGTGACATTCAAGATTAGCTTAGCATAAACAGGTCACACAAAGGTGAGAGAAATGAGCTTCACAGGTGCTAGGTGGATTTCTTTTAACCTTTGGACAGAGCCAGACTAGCTGCCCTATACTAGCTGCTCTATTAACAAGACTAAGGGCATTTCCACAAGACAACATTTAGTCTGTTTTAATCAAACTCTGGTGCGGTGAACACACCAAAACAACCAGTCCGAGACCGCTTAAGAGAGGTGGTCCCAAAGCGTTGTTCAAGCAAACCCAAGTGTGAGAACGTAATCTGACCCAATAGCAGGAACTGAACCAAAACGCAGGCTGCCTGGACGGGCGTTTGCTGTACACAGGTCAACGACAGGTTAACGTGAGTGGGAGAGGACTGATTTGGACTTCAGCAGAAGTCGGATCAAGATGTCAAGTAAATATCGAAGAGAACATACAGAATATGCTGAACAACGTGCACAAAAACAGGGACATTAATACAAAATTCAAGATAAACTGAAGGACAAGGGATTTGTGCACGAAGTACATCAGTGCCAACTCAATTGTTTAGCCTTGCTCCTTCGTAGAGGCCCCCAAGCATTTTTATTTTTAGGTCCCCTTTAATTTGTGCACTGTGAAACCTAAATAAAAAATTTACCAAAAGTTAAATTTCACCCAGATTCAGATAATGGCTTGTGAAAAAACAAACCCCAAATGTGAACGTCATGGTGTCCCTAAAGGAAAAGTAATGGAATCAATAAACTCAGTAAGATTAATCCTCTTGGGACCATGAATGTCTCACAACATATTATACCGATCCATCCGGTGGATGTTGAGATATTTCACAGGCTACGTGAAGACTTTGACATACCGGCAGACCGGCATTGCCACCCTCAAGCCAATCCGCCTGCACGGCTGTAAACACATCAATCAGCCAATCTGTTGAACTGACTGACATGCTCCTTTACTACCGTAAACACACACACAAGGTGCACTTTATTTTAACTCGACCCCACATACTCCGTACTGCTTCTGTAGATACTCAGTAGAACAGTAAATGTGTATTAATCCACAGCTGAAAATAGTGCCCAGCAAATGCACTACCTCCTTTTTAAGTAATATTTGCTAAACAATTGTGACCAGCTGTTTTATGAAATTGTTTTGTCTTTTTATTTTAATGAAACTAAACATTTTGACCTGTTTTTAACGATCCTGAGTAGGAACGAATGGGCAGAGAGCCATAGACGGGTTAAAGAAACCGGAAAGCCATCCGTTTAAGTGACACAGCAGAGAAAATGTGTGGATGAAATCGTTTTTGAAAATTCATTGATGCCATTTTCAGACGATGCAGAGGCTGTTAAGAAGCTGCCAATACGCAACCAGGATGAAGTAACTGCTGGTTTGCTTTTAGCCTCTTTTACATTACAGCGAGATCCAATTCCCATTGACTGTCTCATTGATCGTCTTTCTTGAGCGGCTTTTCCTCGTTCCGTTAAGCGAGACCCCGGGCAGAATTCCCTCACAGCCTATTAGTTGGATTTCACGTAAAGGTTAAGGCCATATCCGTCCACACTGGGATCAATATTTCAGCTTCTCGACCTGTCGGTGTATCGCTTCAATAACCCGACAGATCATTAAAGAGCAGAGAATACTGGATGAGCACAACAGGCTCATACTGTATTCACCCTTTAGCTTTGACAAAGAATGTTTTATCACGGTTGATATTGTTGTGTTTTACTGAATGGACTTCACATGGTGACATTAAAATAAAATCAAGGAGTTAATACTGTTAGTCAACGGAGCATCCAGTGTGAGAAATGGAATCTCTTATAGGCCCAGCATGAACGGGAGGAATAATTACAGCGACCAAAAACTGTTTCAGTTTGCATTGTTTGTCATACAAACACAGGACATTCACCCAGGAGAACGCCGTTTGGGTCCCGTCCGAAACCAAAAGTCAAGCTGACTTATTTTGAGTTATGCAAGTATGTTACGTGACGTACGTAACATGCGCTACGTAACTGAAGCTACCGCTTAGCGAGGCGAAATGGTCCGCAGTCTTGGAAAGGGAGGAGTGAGCGAAAGGGGAATTCAGTTGGCTGTGATCTGGAACCACACCGCTAGATGCCACTAAATCCTCCACGAGGCGCTTTTTAAAAAGAGACTCGTTCAGCATCGAGTATGCAACAAATGCATCGTTCAAGCTGAAAACAGGGCTGTTTTTAGAGATATGTGGTTCTCAGAGGACAGCGACGCTACAAACATATGATGATCTTGTAGAATATGATGCATTGCTGTAGATTAAACTAGCCAACAGTATAAAAAGGAGTTTAAAACTAAAATGCAACATGCACATTAATGCTGCACTAACATGAATCCAGAAACATCATATAGTAAAACACTGACAGTGCTTTTACTTTTCATACTTTAAGTACATTTTCCTGATAAGACGTTTTGAATGTATGTTTCCATTGTAGTAGTAGAGTATTGTCACAGTGCGGTATTAGTATTTTTACGTCAGTAAAAGATCTAAATACTTCTACTCACCACTGGATAAAAAGGACCTGCAATCAAATGTTATATTTTGTTCATTAATTCATAGTTAAATCACGTTTTGCTATTCAACGGCCTACTTTTTCCCCCTATAACAAGTTTTTATGCCTCAAAAAGGGTAAATCCACACTGAGTTAAACTGAGCTCTCATCAGAAAGACATCGATGGGAAGTGTGACACCAGGCAAACACACAACCAGCCTCTTATCTGTTCCTTAGCAGCTAATGACATAAGGAGGTGCTATTAGCCAAACGCAGGTACACTTACCTGATACGTCATTTCAGTCATGATACTCACATTTGTATGCTGTTATATGATCTTATCTGCTGGTGAAACAGGCTGGGCGGGTGAAAACTCCTCCAACTTTTACTTCATTTATTTTGCCATACATTGGAGGAAAGACTGACCTGCTATTAGCTGTCTGCAGTCAAACCTTTGCTGTTTTCTGTGGTTAAGCTTGGAGGTTTCTCTAGAGAAATTCAATGTGAATGTTAAAAATCACAAAATAATGTCTGAAAAATGCATAATGTTTGATCCCCTCATGGGTTCCAACCTCTGCGCTTTGAGCATTGATCTGACCGCACTCTAATCAGCCATGCCACAGCAGGTGCTTCAGTTAAACCGCGGAAGCTTTCTGATTTTAGTCGTCCTGTGTTGGTCTGATGAAGTGACGGAACATACATGCGTAGCCTGATGAGCGTTTGCTCACGTTTTCAACACACAGGATCCTACAGTGAGCATGTGCTATTTCCTCACTTGGGAATTATTTTAATGGAACACATTTGTGTGTTGCCTATGCAGATTTTATAACCGGTGTAAAAATGTTAAATAAACCCATCACATTATACAATCTGGTGAATCCGTTTTAATGAATTATGAGGCGATAGCAATGTGCTTTCTGTGTGTGGATGAAGCATTAAGTTGTTCAAATTTTACTTTTTTTGGAGCTAGCTAGTTAGCTTGCTAATTCCATCGGCCTTTCATGCAACAGTTACCGATCATAAGAAGCATCAAATGAACTGCTGGGTATGACTTCACTGTTTTCAAAAGTACTGTTCATGATAGCCTTTCAATTAACTAATGCTAAATATTAGCATGATGGCTATTGTTATGGTTAGGATGAGGATTGTGAAGTCAGAACACAGTATAAACCCGTATAATCATTTGTGAATTTACTAAAATGTCAAGATCTGGACCTGAATCCATCAACAACACTACTACTCATATACATTGGGGTTTATGTAACCCTTTAAAATTCAATGCAGTGTTTTTGAGTCAGAAAAACACATTTTTATACTCAAGTGTATTAATATTTGCTTACACCCCGAGTACACATTTACATACATATCAGCTCATTCTGCTTACAGTTCTTCACAGATGTTACCTGCATCTGTCAGGTGAACACATTTGATAAGATGTCTGGTATTTCAGTGGAGCCACCGTGATCGTTCTGCACATATGTACAGTAGAGTGACGCCATCCGTGGGCCTGTTAAAATGAGACATGAATATTCATACCCTTTTCATAAAAAACTCCATGTATTTACGTAATCTGCGTACTGTGATGATTGCTATATCATTTCACACAGATATTAACATTTTCACATTTGCATGTGAACATACACACGCCGCTTTAGAGTGAATGTTGTGTTATTCAGCAACTAGATGAAGCAGTTTTTCCATGTTTACCCACACGACTTATATTTACTGTATTTTTTTAAATGATTTATTTGGGTATAATTTTGTTTTCTTCAGCTACAGATTTTGGGCTGTGATATATTCAAAGCCATGTTGTTTACTGGTATTTGTTTAATATGACAGAAAATGATTCTTTAAGGCTGCTGACATTTCATCAGTAAAAACATCTGACTATACGTCACCAACATGAAACAACAATTTTGAACCAGTCTTCATCCAATATTTAGATTTCTGATCGAGAAATGTATGTAAATGAGCTCATATTTAATAATATAATGCCCACTTTGCATATTTAAACATAAAATTACAGAAAACTTGTAACACAAAAAAAGAATGCCTTAACGCAATGAATTAACTTGGGAAGTTTCATCATGGTATCAATTATATTTTTTACCCTGTTCACCTGGAACGCCTCGATGTCGTGTGAGTTTGTGGAAGATGTGGATTTAAGACTTTTGGCAGTTGATAACAGCACCATCTGCTGTGGACTGTTTGTCACTCCCAGACAAGATCTGGTGGCCGGGAGGAGGAATTCATCCGAACAATCTGTCGTTTGGACACACACTGCACGAACCCCCAGGGTGTCATTCTGTCTATATGCATTTTTAGAAAAATCAAAAACGGGTTGCCCAAAGTTTCAATCGTTTTCAATTCAATTTATTTTTGTATAGCCCAAAATCACAAATTACAAATTTGCCTCAGAGGGCTTTACAATCTGTACACATGCGACATCCTCTTGTCCCAGAACCCTCACATCATTTTAATTGCAAATGGAAAACAATATACGGAGTGCTGTTGTGCAAGTCAAAAGTACAAAGCATCAGTGTGAGCGACATTTGTTTAGTAAGAGGTATATGTTGCATAATAAAGGCGGAGTAATATAAAAATGTTAATTCATTAGTACTTGAATTAGCATTGCTGCAATTCTGTTACGACAGTGTAGACAAAAGCACCGAAGAAATGTTTAAAGAGAGAATTAGACCATTTGATTAAAACAAGAAAAAAGCACTTGTTGAGCGTCTTACTGACGCTGTATGTGATAAAGCTTCAGTCATCAACAGTTTGACATAAACAGTAAAGTGAAAACAGATGAGACTTTACGCAGTGTTAAAGATTATTAGAAATGTCTCACTATGGAATTACGTCAACAATTATAACTTCATAGAATTGCCCGTCCGTCAGTCTGTGTGTTGACTCAGTCGGCCTTCTTCTTGATGTGGAGCAGCTGGGAGACGCTCTGCAGAGCCCAGAACAGCAGAGAGAGGGAGACAAAGGCCTGGACAACACCGGCGGAGAGAGAGAGAGAGAGAGAGAGAGAGAGGGAGAGGAGCAGACAGGTCATTGTGTTTCCTTCAAAATGATGAATGTGTGACACCACGCAGAGACTCAGAGTGTGAAGATATACAGATTTAGCTGAGGTGACAGTAAAGTGAAGCTTTGTTTAAATATTGAAAACAGACAACAGCTCTGTTCTCTGAGCGAGTTTGAAAATCTGCTCAGAAGATGTCGAAAGCATTAACGAGCTGACAGCAGAGTTTGAAGGTGGACATAAAATATCAGAATTATTTCTGAGATCATAAATTGACATATCTAATTTCATTTATTAGATTGTTTTGTGATTCTTACAAACCAAAAAGATTTTTCAGTTTATGATCAATGAAAACCAGCAAATGTTACTATTTGAGAAGCTTGATCCAGTGAAGTTTTGGCATTTTTAACGAGGAAAACAATATTTATTTGATGATCAAAATAGACCAATCACCTAATTGTTTGAGATCTAGATATCTGGAAGTGCTACCACACTTTCAACAGAGTTCAGTGGCTTAGTAGCCTTTGTAACCTGAATTTGACTTCTTTCCTTTCATCATTTTCAACCATTTAATAGTTTCAAAAGTTTTTACATTTCTTTTTAAATGATTTACTGAATTCAAGGCTTGATTTAATCTCAGAGTTTCCCTTCCATGTAATAAGGCTCATCCTGTTTTTAGGAGCTTCCTGATATTTTTTAACATACTTAAAAATAAATTCCTTCACTCGGATTATAAATTATAAGGATTAATAATACGTGTTTAGATTTGTGTAAACCTTTTGTAAACCTTGAGCATATTCCAATTTGTATGCTGCAAAAATGTTACACTGAGAAAAAGCCAGGCGGATTATCACAACCCAAAAAGAAAACATGACATAAAACGTGTGACAGGTATCATTTGCAACCAGTCAACGCAAAGGCAAACACTGAAAGTGAATCTGTAATTGAAAGAAAACAGTGGGGGACTTCGGTCTCAGGGTGAGGACTCAGAAAGTGGGCTCAGGGGTTAAGGAGCAGGTCTTTTCCCCTGATGCTCTGGTGACGGGGTCAAAAGGGTCACCGCCATGGGGGGACCTCGCTACTCCGAGAGGGAGGGGGGGCTGTCCTCAACCCCTCGCTGCGTTCTGGCCCATAAACTGCTTCCTACATCGCAGCTCAAGCCAAAACCAGGCCGCTGTCCATCACATGCAGAACAGCCTGATGGGAAAAAAAGCAACGTTTCCTCCTGGACACGGCAGCTGTTTTCCTCTGAGAGAGACTCAGAGAAAGAAAGAGAGAGAGAGAGAGAGAGAGAGAGAGAGAGAGAGAGAGAGAATAACGCAGACCTCTCTATGCTTTCTACCTCGCACTACCTGAAAACTGCCTCCCCCCTGAGAAACAGTAGCGGCTTAACGATGGACGAAACAAAGCGACTAATCGAGGGGGTTTTCTCGTGGCCCTGGTCCTTAAAGTACCCACATTAAGGACCAGAGAAATCTATAGTTTTATGCTTGTATTTGGTAGTGATGGGAAAGACACTTTTTGGGGGAAAAGAGTAGTGGATAGACATGCAGCAAACAGTCCAGCCAGCCGGGAATCGAACCGTGAACCGGCTCCTCTTGGCGTTTGTTTCCATGTAGTTTTCACCGTGACCAATCGGCTTTGGAGCCGCCCGTATCTGTAGTTTTAAACTCCAAATCAACCAGACGTGAGATCCATCACAAGATTATAAAACTGTTGAGAACAGTGGAAGAATTAAGCACTTTTACATTCGGACTGTAGGCTACTGTACAAGTACAAGTTTGTGGTACTTGAGTACTTTTACTGTAAATACTTTAAATACACTTTCCTGATAATACTGATCAGGAAATTATTAAATTATTTTAATTATAATTCCTGATAATACTTCAGGACTTGAGTGCAGGACTTTCACTTGTTTTTGAGTACTTTCTATAGTACTTTTTGTACCACAGAAAAGATGCAAGATGAGAAAGACCTCTGGTGTACTTAATATGTTTACATGGGTGAAGAACAGCTGATACTGTAGTATTACTTCCATTGGAAACATTGTCCTTTTTACTCCACTACCTTTTTCTGATTGCGATAGAAGAGAATAAACAAATAATCTTATGAAATATGATGCTATTTTACAGAATAAACTACACAAACAGAGTTAGCTCCATTAGCTGGCGAATCTGAACCAAAGTCACACAACAACACAGACGAACGAGGCAGCGGTATAGTTCCTCACATGGAAATCAGGAGCCAAAAGTAAAACCCAAGTGTATGAGATATTTGACTTCTACTGGAACTCACGGGACAAAGCCGTTTCACAACCTGCTGCTCCTGGTAAATCAACTTAATACAATTTAAACAAGAAGACTAAAACTCTCAATTAATTGAAGGAAAAAAACAGATGGAAGATTACTAATACGTGAAGTTGCATTGTGTCCGTCTCTGAGACGGATTGGGATCGGGAGGCTTGGCAGAACCTCGCAAATCACATTTCAGTCCAACGGAGCGAAACATGACAGACGTTTCTATCAAAGCTGCATGTGGAGGCAAAGGAAGGGCACCTATTTGACTCTTGTTCCCATCTCTCCCCATTCAGCCCCACTACGCTACATTTTAATGGACTCTGTAGGAAATCCATGTGGGACAGATTACATTGTGGAAGGAAACGGGTTTGATCGTCTACAAATAAGCACTACGGCCAGACGGCAGCGGCTCCCAAAGTAGAGATCTCAGCAAATCGACTCGCACTCACTTTGTTTTGGGCAGAAGGTACTTTGTTAAGAGTGGCAATACAAAAAGCCACGGACATGTGGCTTTTTGTACATTTACTCTGCCTCTTTGTTGAGCTCAGCAGAGCTTTTCTTTGTCTTTCACTGTCCAACACTTCTTCTGACCAACTTTGACATGGCAGCACGTGAGATTAATATTTAGCTCAAAGTTCAATAAGGTCATTAGGTTTATGGTCACACTTATTGCCAGAAAAGAACAGCAATATTTGACGATTCTGCAAAATAATCTAATATTCCCGTTTTTTTTCAGAGAAATTAACTCTCAAACCGTCATTATCTTCAGATTTTCATCTTTCCGACGGTCCTTGAACATGTCATGTGCAACGGACGCTTCCATCATAAAACGCAACCAAAACAAAGCTAAGAATTGTGATATTTCATCTAAAACATTTCATCCAACTTGTCTCATTTAAAATCCACAGCGAATAAACTATTTGCTTTAACCAGATCCTGTAAAAAGCACTAAATTCTGCGCTCCTCGATGCAACTAGGGAGCCATGATTCGGCTGAGACCAACAGTCACGTGACAAAAATTTGGCAGCACTTGTGGGAACATGGGGAAATGTTGGATTCATAGGTTCCATTGTTCTCTTATTTTTGAACAACTCTGGTGTGAGAGTTTGAAAAAGAGACAGAATAAGTTAAAGAAATAAAAAAAAGTAAGCAACGTAACATTTTCACTGTTTTCTGACCGTTGTATTGAACCTGTTGGTGACGTCAAATGTGACACACCAGAATAAAACACAAAGTCATACTCAAACACACACAATCACCAAATATTGGTGGAAAAGGGGTAAAATACTGTTATATTATAATGTCCTAAATCCCAAATAAAACATCGCCTGTTTTAAAAATAAGAGTTTAGGAAGCTAAACAGCTGCTTCATCTAAAAAATATGTTCAGTTTTTTAATGCAGAGTTTTAGTGTCCCAAAATGGTGTCAACACCGTTCTAAATCTTTTGCCTGACATGAGTGAAGTTCTGGCACCTCATGGTCAAATATAACACCATTAAATAACGGGCCATCTGCAGCTCCAACATAAAAATATCTGCATTGACCTTCAGAACAACACTGGTCACCTCTATAGTCCTTTCATGGGCAGTTGATGGATATAAAGCATCAAGCAGATACACCCCACAGTGCCCCTGGAGACTTGTATCTTCCAGCCTTCAGCGGGTTAACGTGGCAGAGTCTCGCCGTTCTGAAGCTGCAGCTGCACTCGTGATTGAAATGAAAACAAGGCAGAATGGCTGCTGTCAGACGTGTGATATATGACCTGTAATGAGATGTTTCCAGAGCTCCCTCTCCATATGGCTGCCTACAGCCCACCAGACCTGGACCCAACTGTGTCGGAAAATAACTTTTGCTTTAACCTGGCTGCAGAATGAGAGTGGGCGGACTACGGGACTGAATTGGTGAAAATAGACCATATTTAACATGCTTTTTATGCAGTTTAATTTAAAGATAGACTGGAGATTTGTAGCACCGCTCACCTATCTGAATACCAGACTAGGAGTCAACAATGAAGTATTAAGTAACACACAAGTCTGTAGTTTCACTGTCTTTATATTATTCCATTTGAAAGAGAATCTGGCTGATTAGCAGCTTATAAATCAATTTCTGGGACGTTTTCTCGACATTTTTCTTTAAGTAAAGAAAACGAACAAAGATGAATTTTGGGATGAAATCAGTTTAAACTGATTTACTTCTTTAAATCAAATCCCAGTATATTTAATTGTTGCTATTGAAAAAGAAAAGGAAAAAAAAGTTATTAAAATAAATACCAGAAAAACATACTGTACATATACTGTATGTACTCTATACCCATAAAGACACAAACAGTACACACTGTAAATTTACTTTAAATCTTCTAACAGATGCACATGAAACACACAGGTGCACCAGCACACACGTCATATACAAACACTTTTGAACATACATAGTCCTACGCAAGTACACCTGCACATATGTACAGATGCACACACACCCGTGTAACACACACACACACACACACACACACAAAGAGGACTTCCTGTCTGTTCATTATGAGAAGATATTTCGTCTCTGTGCGCGGGTTGTTTGAGCACACTCAGGAAGGATACGCGGAGCAGGTTAATGTCCCACCAGAGAGTCAGTGTGGTGCTTGCTCTGTAGCACAGCCATGACAAATATTGCCGCCATACT